CAAGTAATTATCATTTGTGAACCTAAAAGTACTGTTAAAAATGCAGTTTGTCAATTTAAAACGTTCTTAAAAAATTAAAAATGTTTTTAAAGTATTAACAGGGCAACTCGCTGGCTTAGTCAGTAGAGGATATGACTCTTGATCTCAGGATTCTAAGTTGAAGCCCCACATTGGGTGTAGAGATGACTTAAAAACAAAATCTCTAGGGGGCGCCGAGGTAGCTCAGTTGGTTAAATGTCTGACTCAGCCTGGGCCTTAATCTCAGGGTCGTGAGTTCAGGCCCCCACATTGGGCTCTATGAGTGTGGAGCCTACTTAAAAATAAATAAATAAATAAATAAAATCTTTTAAAAAATCAATTAAAAATGAAAAATAAGTTGTCTTACGCTAAAAAATTTTGAAAACATGTCTATACAATCTCATCTAAAAAGCATGTAAGTTGGCTAAAAAGATATACTCAACAAGATAACATAAAGAAGCAGGAAATAATTAGATGGAATCCTAAATCCTATGCTTGATCCAAAACATCTATGCACATTTAGAGAACATGGGGAAATTTGGTAACACCCAAGACACGTGGGAAAGATTTGAGAAATTCAGTTGACCCCCGGTTCCCAATAATTACTAGTACAATGAAGCTGTGGAAAACGTGTCCAAATGCAGTCCTGGTCTCTGGAAGGAACAGGGGCACTCTTCATGGGCTAGATTCATGGGTCATTCGTTCCTTCAATCACCAAAAGCTTCCTAAGGACCTTTTCTGCCAGGCTTTGCTCACAACCCTGGGGATAGAGATGCCCCACATTCTTGTCTTCCAGGTCCGAAACACACAAGAAAGCAATGGTAGCAGGAGAGTGCACATGTGCTTAGGAGTCTCAGTGGGTTCAGCAAGCCCACGGAGGGAGTGGATGACATTTGAGTCGCCTTTCAAATAAGGAAGTGTTCGATGGAAATCATGGAATGTACCTGGGATTTCCTGGCAGTGGGAGCAGCAAAGATGTGAGGATGGGAAAATGACCACAGAGTTAGGAGAAATGACACCCCTTTTGGGAGCAAGGAGGGCTTCTCAGAGGAGGAGGCCAGCCTCAGCAGGAGAGCCAGAGAGGAGCAGGAGTGAGCCAGCAGGCTGCGTGGGTAATGGGTGGTGGATGCTCCTCCAAGTCAAGAGCCCACAGGTGGGAGAAAGCGCGGTGGGGTTTGGAGTGGAGGAAATCTCCATCCCCTAGGATCCTAACCATCCCTGCTAGAGCCCGGCCCCCACCATCACCCCAGGTACTTCCCTTCTGCCTTCTCTCCTTACCAGCAGGGGGCCTAGAAACCCAGAAGACACCAGGCTGAGGGGCTCAGGCCCCCAGCATCCCCACTTGCTCAGCCCAGGCCTGGGAGAGGCTCAGAGTGTTCAGTGCCCAAGAGTCTGACCAGGGTCTGGGAAGAAGGAATAAAGGAAAGGGGGCCTTACATTGTGGAGGGGCCTGGGCACTGGTGGGGAGAGTGATGAGGGGTCCCAGGAGTCCCACAGGAGGGGAGCACGAGTGGGGTTGGTGAGGAGGCTCCCCTGGCCCATGTCCAAGGCACTCCCTTCTGCCCTGTTCCCAGTCTGATGCAGAAAGTGGTCCTGGTGTCTGGCCTCACCCGGATCCTTGGCACTGACCCTCAGCGGCTCTTGCCATGGGGTAGCCTGTCCTAGGTTCATTTTCCAGGATCAGGTCAGGCAAGGTGGCCTGAGCCGGGGGTGCGCTGAGGCTGGGTTCGGAGTGACTGTGCTTGGCCCCAAGTTCATGGCTGTGGTGGGTCGCAAGCCCCTTCCTGTCCTCTCTGGTTCAGCAGGGTGCATACTAGGAGGGAAGGAGGAGGTCTACAGTTTCTGTTCTGCCAACCTCTCTGGTTAGAGCAGCAGAACTGGGCTGAAGGACTCCACTGGAGAGGGGCCCATGGGGTCTCCTGGGCTGCCATGGGCTTATCAGCCAGGCCAAAATGCTTGCTTGTGGAGTGACCAGGGGTCTGAGCTTTGGCTTCTCCAACCGTCCAATGAAGTTGCCATCCTTACTCTGCCTCTTCTGTGGGGTCACTGATCCCATGGGTGAGGGCTGGCTGGGTGAGGGAAGGGGGTATGTGGGCTGGCACCGCCCTCTGGTGGTTATAGCTAGAGTTGCCGTGCAAGGTGCTGGGGGGGGCGGGTAGAGGGTGCAGTCTACTGGGAGCCTGAGGGTCCCCTTCAGCTCTGTCTTCTCCACTCCACTTTCTTCTTCTTCACCCCAAACTTCCCAGGGTTCTCAGGGCTGCTTTCTCATGCGCAAGAATAATTCAATTCAGCAAACATCCATTCAGTAGGAATAGAAGGGGCCCCTATTATATGTCCTGTTCTGTGCATGCCCTGTATCTCAAATGAATAAATAAATCTTAAAAAAAAATAAAGGTACACAGGGGAAAAAAGACAAATTACATTCAGGGAAATAAAGAGAAGAATGAATTCGAGTCCCAGTTGAGATGTGCTTTAAGAATAAAATGCCCAGGGTGCCTGGGTGGCTCAGTCAGTTAAGCATCTGCCTTCTCTCTCTCTCAAATAAATAAATAAATAAAATCTTTTTTTTTTTTAAAGATTTTATTTATTTATTTGAGAGAGAGCATGAAAGAGCACCAGCAGAGGGAGCAGCAGAGGGAGAAGGAGGGAGAGAGAGAGAGAAGCAGGCCCCCTGCTGAGCAGGGAGCCAAGACCGCAGGATCATGACCTGAGCCGAAGGCAGACGCTTAACCATCTGAGCCACCCAGGCACCCAATAAATAAAATCTTAAAAAAAAAGAATAAAATGCACAGTCAGTCTAGTATAAAGAATGTAAAAATATAATCTCATTAATAATTTTTTATGTTGATTACATGTTGAAGTGATAATATTTTGGAGATACTGGATTAAATGAAATATACTATTAAAACTGATTTTAGGGCACCTCGCTGGCTCAGTCTTGATCTTGGGGTCATGAGTTTGAGCCCCAGGATGGGCGTGGAGCTTACTTGGAATTAAAAAGAAAAAAAGTTTCAAAAATGAAATAAAATAGGGGGCACCTGGGTGGCTCAGTCGGTTGAGCATCTGCCTTCGGCTCAGGTCATGATCCCAGGGTCCTGGGATTGAGCCCCGCATCGGGCTCCCTGCTCAGCAGGGAGCCTGCTTCTCCCTCTCCTGCTCCCCCTGTTTGTGCGTGCTTTCTCTCTGTGTTAAATAAATAATCTTTTTTAAAAGGATTTTATTTATTTATTTATTTATTTATTTATTTATTTATTTAATATTTATATATCGTAGGGACTCGGTAAATATTTGTCAAATGAATGAATGGACCCAGATGGAAGGAAACATTCTTACCACAATGCTTCTCCATGGGAAAGCTGGTGGACAGGGCAGTCTGATCTTCATTCCTGGTTTTGTCTCTTGTTCCATGCTGTGTCACGGACACCTGGCCCCCAAGGCGCGTTGTCAGCACTAGAAACCTCTGTCCCAGGTGTAGCCCTTGGGCAGTAGCCCCTGTTCTGGGCTCAGGCTTAGCGTGGTGGCTGGGGGGAAGGGGCTCCTGGAATTCCTTAGAAATGGATTCATGTGGAGGGGGCAGGGAGGTTATCACAAAAATATAGAAGAGAGAATGAGGCCTCAACAGCAGAGGGGCTGACGAGGAGACTGCTCATTTGAGAAATATTTAGGAGGTAAATCAAGCAGGACAGGTGATTGACTGGTTATTGAAGGGAAGAAAATTGGGGCACCAAGAATGATTCTAAGGCTTTAAAAGAATTAGTGCTACAACCATCTCTTTCTGGCCGGCAGGTTCTTCCAGTCTAAAGGGACAGAAATGGCCACCGACCGACTCCTCTGCCGCCCCATCCAACTCGTTCAAGACTTAGGGCGACTCTCTTTCGTACCGCCTCCCATGGCGCACTCTGAGGGACGCGCTCAGGGGCCATGCGGGAAGAGGTCCGAGGAGTCTTCCTTCACCCGGGAGACCTCTAAGCGCAGTCTCCAGGAAGAACAGGTGTCTGCCAGGGTGGGAGGAGGTGGGCAAAGCGAGTGCGGGCTGGAGGTGAAGCACAAGCAAAGGGAGTAAGACGAAGTAAGAAATAAGAAAGGCGGCTGTCGAGCGGCTTTGGGGATATTGGGGGTCAGGAATGGAGCTCAGTCTTCTCCTCCCTTGTCGCTGACTCTTGTTGCTGGAGGAGAACTGGGGATAGGGCAGGAAACAGTGGGATGTGGGGTAGGATATGCCCCCCTTTTCCTGACCCAGGTGCACCACTTGTTTTGCAGCACGGGGCTGTGAGCGCAGGGACCGGTGTGATGCGCCAGACTGGGCAGCGCGTTGAGACCATCCTGGAGTTTGGATTCATGTCCCAGCTACCGGAGAAAGCACAAAACTGCCCTAACTCCCGGGTCATACCCAGGGTGGGCCGCCGGCAACCCCGGCCGGAGCGGAGGGAGGGGGTGTCCCCAGGTAGGGACCTCGAAGTTTCTGTACTCGAATTCCAGGGAAGCGGCGACTCGGGGCAGAACCATTCTCCGGAGGTGGAGAGGGGAGGAGAAGCCCTGCGCTCGGAACCCGAGCCCACGGAACCGGCTGGAACCGCCATTCGACTCTTCTCCTTATTCTGATTTTGGCGCTCTGCTTCGCCACCCAGAGCTCCCCTCGCGCGCGACCCCCAGTCCCGGGCCGCACTGGTTGCTCCCGGCCGCCCCCTCCCGCGCGTGGTATGGCCCGGCGGGCGCCCACTCCGGGCGCTGGTTATAAAGGCCCGGCTGCCGCAGGCGACTGCGGACTCAAGATGCGTCCCAAGGTGTCGGCGCCCGGCGACGCGCGGCACCGGTTCAGACCCCGGGATCCGGCGGGAATCACCCTCGCGTCCCCACTCGCAGCCAATCCGGCTCCAGAGCCCTCTGCGCAGCTTGCCGCCGCCTGCGCGCGGACACCCGCGCCGGGCCAGGGAGCAGGATCCAGAGCCCCTTCCGTCTCGGGACGCCCGGCCGGAGCTCGCCCGACCTCCAAGGCTGGATCGGCGGCAGGGGCCCCACGCGCGTCCCCATTCTCAGGCGCCCGGCGGAATGCCCAGGCCGTGCCCGGCACCTCGGACGCGCCCTGGACCCGCTTCATATTCCAGGGGCCCTTTGGTCCCCCGGCCATCGGCCTGGGGACTGGAAAGGCGGCGGGCATCTGGAAGACGCCGGCCGCCTACATTGGCCGTCGGCCTGGGGTGTCGGGCCCCGAGCGTGCCGCCTTTATTCGGGAGCTGGAGGAAGGTAACCGGGGCCCCCGGGACCCCAGAGACGGTGGGACATAGGCATTTCCGTGGAGAAGGGGCCCCGTCGGCTCCGAGCGCCCCGCCCCCGCGGGCATTCAGTCTTACCGCTCTATCGACTTGCGATGTCACTGTCTGTGGTGCCTGTCGGGTCGCCTCTTGCCCATCTCCTCCTCCCTTCTGTGGTCTCCTGATGGTTGTCGGGGGGGCAAGTCCAGGGGCTCTGCGCGCCCGTTGCTCCGCAGCTCTGCGCACTCTCAGGGCACCCCTCCCCAGGCTACCGCAGTGCCAGGAGAGGGGCGGGGGGCTGCGGGAGGGCGCGGCCCCGTGTGCTCTGAGCCTGCGCTGGCCCGCCGCGCGGCTGGGGAGGTGGGTGGGCGGAGGGGGAGGTTTTGTCAACCGTTTGGCTGCAGGGGGTCAAAGCCATGTTTTCCCCAGCCTAGGGATGGGCGGGGGCTCCGGTTTCGTCCCCTCGTAGCTTCTCCTGGGTGGCAGGAGATCTCTGGATTTGGGTCTAGAGGCTCACGGACCCCCTACTGCAGTGCTGGAAAAGTCTCTCCCTTCTCTCCACACGCAACAGGTGCAGGGCGGGTGACTGTGTCTGTTTTATGACCCACGAGGCTCCAATGAGGCGCCCAAAGCTGCCCTCTGGGTAAGGGGTGATGAGCCAGTCTGTGGCTGCTTCCACTAGCCGCCTGCATTCTCCTAGGTGCCAGGGACCCAGGCGGCAGAGAACTCAGTTCCACCTGAGCTTGGAGGACTGGGATCCTTCACCTCGCCCAGGCCCCTCCAGAACAAGAAAGAGTCCAGTTGGTCCTGGGAGCAGGGAAGGGAGTGCTGGGTTCAGGGAGTGTGTGTGGAGAGGCTATTGGGGGTCAGGAATGGAGCTCAGTCTTCTCCTCCCTTGTCGCTGACTCTTGTTGCTGGAGGAGAACTGGGGATAGGGCAGGAAACAGTGGGATGTGGGGTAGGATATGCCCCCCTTTTCCTGACCCAGGTGCACCACTTGTTTTTGCAGCGCTGTGTCCTGACCGACCCCCACCAGTTAAGATCACCCAAGAAGATGTCAGACTGATGTTAAATCTGCTAGAGGAGGTGTGTACTGCCTTCCCTAGGGCCATCCTGAGCCTTAGCCAGGCCTCCGTTTTAATTCTGCCTGGGAGGGCTAGGAGTCCTGTCTGTTCTCTGCTTGACTATTTTTCTGGGGGCCAAGCTGGGGGTCCCTCTTATGATGTCCAGGCTGGCATTGCTCTTAGAGCCATCTGGTCTGACCTGCTCTTTTCTATAAGGGGAAACTGAGGCCCCCACGGTGGGTTGATGGCAGACTCTCTTCTAGTACCCTGGAAAACTAGCGTGTGGAAGGGTTTCCCTTAGGGGCCTAGCTTCCCTTTGACCCCTGTGTACTCCCTAGCTTCTCCCAGCTGTCTGGGAGATCCCAGAAAACAGGAAAGTATTCCCCATGGATGGGGATCCCCTCTGCAGAGAGAGCAGGACCTAAATACGGTGGCTCGCATTGGCCAGTCCCTGGCGAAACGGAACAGTGTTCTGATGGAGGAGAACAGCAAGCTGGAAGCCATGCTGGGCTCAGCCAGGGAGGAGGTAACTGGGCAGGGAGGAGGGGTAGGGGGTGCGTCATCTCAGACCTTCCTACGTCCCCTTCCTGCCACGACCTGTGCTTCCCCCACCCCCCTGCCCGCCTTCCGACAGGGATCCTCTCCCCCACTGGCAGATTTTACACCTCAGACACCAGGTGAGCTTGCGAGATGATCTCCTCCAGCTCTACTCAGACTCTGAGGAGGAGGAAGAGGAGGAGGAGGAGGAAGAGGAAGAGGGAGAGCAGCAGCATGATCATCCCTATGGAGCCTCTGAGCCGTGAGTGTCCTGCCTTTTCACCGGGGCAGCTCGTTCTCTGTGCCTCAGTTTCCCCATTTGCAAACAGGGACACACACGGTGTACCTGCCAGCAGGGTTGCTGGGGCTACACGAGACCACCACATTGAGCCCGAGTGGGCTAACCCTGGGTGGGCTGGGACCTGGGTTCCTCTCCCCCTCGCCCCTGTGCTGGGCCCTGACCCCCATTGCTCCCGCCGCTAGGACTTCCGTGCAGGAGTCTGAGTCGCCACACTACTGCCCGAAGCTGGAAACACTGCAGGAGCAGCTGAGGCGGCTGGAGGAGGAGAACGAGCAGCTGAGAGAGGAGGTGAGGCTGCGGCAGGAGGGCACAGCTGCAGGCAGGGGCTGTTGACCCCCCTGCTCCTTCCTCTCTCCCTCCCTCCCTCCCTCCAGGCCTCTCACCTCGACGCCCTTGAGGAGGAGGAGCAGATGCTCATCTTGGATTGTGTGGAGCAGTTTTGTACGTGAAGCTGTAACTTGGGGGTAGAGGGCTGTCCCATGGAGCTGAGGGAAGAACTCAGAATTCACAGTTTGGAGACCTGAGTTCGAGGCCCACCCTGGCACTTCCTGGCTGTGGGAGCTTGGACAAGTTCCTTGACATCTCTGAAACCTCATCTTTAGAATGGGGAGGAATAATGTCAGCCCTGTGGACCTCTCCAGAGGCACAGCTGAGGACGTGCTTTGCACACACTGGAAAGAGCTGTGCAGAAGCTATGGGGCCCCTCTAAGCCTGTTTCATTTTGTCATTTGGGGCTTGGGAAGGAGGGGCCTGGAAGCAAGGAAGAGAAGGAGCCGTGAGCGGCCAGACACCAGGCGAGGCACTGGGGCTGGGGCAGTGGCGGGTACCGTGTGTTGATGAAAATGAGGGAGGCACAGGGTTTGTCCCTGAGAAGCTCAAGTCTAGCTTTGAGATGCAGGTGCAAGATGGGAGCGGCTGAACTCATGCTGCTCGCCTTCCTGCAGGCCTGACCTTCCTTCCCTCTGGGTTCCCCAGCTCCCCGAATGGCCAGGCCCCTGGCATAGGAGCTGGGCCCCAAGTTCGGTTGCTTCCACCTCCTAAGGAAGGCTAAGTCTCTTTCCTCCTCCTCACCCCCCTGCCTCTACTGCAGGCCGGGTCTTAACTGATCTCCCCTCCTGTACTGCTGTCTTTCCAGGTCCTTCTGCACGCAGCCCAAAATTAGTTTTCTAAAACCAAATCTGACCATGTCATCCTCTGCCTAAAACCCCAAGCTTCCCACTGGCCAAAGGGTAACCTCAGCCCCCTCCCCCAGCCCCTGTGATAGGGGCCCTGCCCAGATCCCGAGCCCTCCCTCCCAGGGTTTTGTGATTGGCTCTGGGCCCCTCCACACCCTGTCTGGGAGCCTCGTTTGCCCTTCTTGGCCTGGCTGAGTCCCACTTACCCTGCAGAGGCCTTAGCTTCACAGACCGTGTAAGGCAGGACCGGGTGCCACCGTGACCCCCGGCGCACCCTTTACATGTGTTCCATCCTAGCCCAGAGTAGGCCCTGGTGGGATTTCCTTGCCCATCAGTGTCCCCACTAGACTTGAGCTCTGTGTGCGCTGGGACCAGGTCTCGAGGGCCGCTCGCCCAGGGCCTTGCTCCCTGTCACTCAACAGGCATTTATTGGGATGAAGAGCCAGAGAGGAATATGAAGTCCTGCGAACCCAGAGTCCCCCGCCCCAGCTGAAGGGTGGGGTGGACAGAGGCCTCAGGAGGGCCAGACTGGTCCCCGGAGGCCAGGAGAGCCAGCGCTGACCTTCTGTCCCCACTTCCCCCCAGCTGAGGCCAGCCAGCAGATGGCTGAGCTGTCGGAGGTGCTGGTGCTCAGGATGGAGACCCATGACCAGCAGCGGAGGGAGGTCGCCCAGCTTCGGACCCAGGTCCTGACGCTGCAGCAGCGCTGTCAGACGGTGCGTCCGGGTGTGTGCAGGGCTCCCTGCTCCTGTCACGGCCCCCGGGGCACCCAAGCCCCCTCCTCCCTGCCCTTGCCTCACGGAGTCCTCGGCTCAGCCAGGCCCCAGGCCCCGCTGTGCGGCAGTCAGAGTCGGAGGAGATTTCGGAGAGCATCTCGTTCTGCCCCCTCGTTGTTCCAGGGAGGGGACGCAGGCCCAGAGAGGGTCATGGGGTGTTCTAGGATGCATGACTCTCCCACCTGATGGGGCCTCATTCCATGTGACTTCCTGCTTCAGGGGTTGCCAAAGGCTCAGCGATGTGCCCGGGAGGACTGGCTGGAGGTGGCAGGGAGGCCTCGGGTGGGGCTGACTGGTCTCGGATCTGGCTGACCAGTCTCGGTCCTTCCAGTATGGAGTCCAGACGGAGAAGTTGCAACGGCAGCTGGCTTCGGAGAAGGAAATCCAGATGCGGCTCCAGGATGAGGTGAAGCTCTCCCTGACTCCTGCCCGGGCCTTTGAGAGCCCCTGGCCCAGAGCTGGGAACTCAAGGCCCTTGGGCAGCTGGCTGACTCTCCTGGGAGGATGAGCTCCTTGAGCAGGCTCTGGGTCTGTCCCTTTGCACACCCTGGGTGTCTGGCGAGGGGTCTGGCAGGTTCAGTTGGGGTCTGAGTGGAGTAGAGTCCAGGGACCTGCTGGGGGCACCCTGCATGTCATTATGTGGGTCTAGAGACTGGGCCACTTGCCTCTTAGCCCAGGCTTCCTGGCACGCTGGGGAGAGGGTGGGCAGGGTGTGCTGGGCGGGTGCGCCTGGGTCCCAACAGAACCTGCAGGTGGCTTTCCAGCTTCAGGACCTGCGGGAGAGGTACACGGAGTGTCGGGGCATGCTTACTGAGGCCCAGGAGGAGGCGAAGACCCTCTGCCAGCGAGCCCCGGTGTCCACTGGCCCTGTCACCCACTACACATACACTGTACCCGTGGTGAGGACCCCCGGCCGCCCACCTCCTGCCCTCTGTGCGCTCATGCCTCAGCCCTGCTGGCTGATTTCCATCCCCCGTTCCTTTCTGTCCCTGGAAGTAGGGGTTGGAGTTCTGTGGGAATGTCCTGCTAATATCCTCCTCTCCACCACAGGAGGCCCTTCCTGGTTTCCAGGAGACCCTGGCCGAGGAGCTCAGAATGTCTATAAGGAGGATTATCTCAGACCCTGTGTTTTTTATCGAAAGGTGTGCTGCTGGGGCCCCTAGGCCCTCACCTGACGCGCACTCACCTGCCCAGAGCGTGGAGGGGGTTTGCTTCTGACTTCTTCCTTCACTCATGACGCCCCCGTGTTAGCTGCCCCGTCCCCTTCCCCTCACCACCCTTTTTTCTGTCCACGTGTGTGGGCCCCTCATTTTTCCCTGGGATTTTTTCCATGCTGGGGCCCCAGGAACTTTGCAGTTTCAGCTAATGTTGCCTTGGGACAGTGATGGCCCTTTTCTCTGTTGAAGGAATCACGGAACGGCTGCAGAGGAGATGTCACACCTGGGGTAAGCCGGCCAGGGGCTCCCCCATCGCCGCCCTCACTTTTAGCAGCCAGACAACCATCTATGACCCTGCCACCCTGGAGAACGCCCCGCTCTCTGAGCTCGCTGGGCTGAGCTGTTCTGGGAAGGGGCGGCCCCCTTTTCCTTCTGATCTTGCCCCATAGTTGGCCATCTGACTTAGGCTGTTCCCAGTGGGGACTGAAGCCTTCCCTTCACCTCACCAGAGACTGAGAGGAGAATGAGCACTGGCCCAGGAGCTGGGAACGTCTGGGACTTGAGTCCCCGCTTGATCCCTTTAATTGGCTGTGTGTCTTTGGGCAAATTGCTTGACCAGTCTGAGCCTTACTAAAATGGATTTGTTCCTATGGGGCAACTAGCTGTGGGCTGGGCCGTGAAGGTTAGATCATGGAGAAGAATATTATCCTTGCTGCTCTGGGTTGTGCACAGGGTGGTGGTGGGGTGTACCAGGGGAAGGCGGGGCTTGTGCAGTGGGGGTGACCATTCTCCCTCCTTACCTGGTGCCTGGGCTGGGTGTCTGAAGCCTGGAGGCGGGTACCCAGCTCCCCTTTCCCCTGGCTGGGACAGAAGTGGGGAGTAGCCGTCGGGTCTTGTGGGTAGACTGGGGCAGAGAGCAGGGGAGCTCCTCAGCCCTGGTGGCTGGAGATGTCCCGGGGGAGCGGAAGAACGCGGCAGAAAGACGTTCCTGTCTCCCTGGCCAGGTACAAGCTGTGCTGCGGTGAGGCACGAGAGCAGGATTGGGGGTTCGAGGCTGAGAGAGGGTTAATGACAGCAGAGGATTTTGTGCCTTCGGAGGAGCTGGGGGCCAGAGAAGAGGGGGTGTCAGCTGAGGAGGGGTTGACAGAAGAGGCAGAGCTGGTGTCGGAGGAGGCTGAGGCCTGGGAGGACGTAGAGCCGGAGCTGGATGAGGCGACGCAGACGAACGCAGTGACCTCAACCCTGGCAGCCAGCGGCTTGGGCCCCTCTCACCTAAGCGTGAGGCGTGTCCTCCGGCAGCTGGCTAACTGGCAGGACTCGGGGTACAGGTGGCAGCTGAGGCAGAAGATGCTCCAGGAAGGTGAGTGCTCCCGCAGGGGCCTCCCTCTGGCCAGCCGGACGAGCTGCAGATCATCAAGCCGATGAAAGGGGAGGGTAGGTGAGCCCCCCAGGTGCTCACCCACCCTGGCCTGGCCCCACCCAGCTTGCTGATTTACATGGACTTTTCATATCATTTGCACAGGCACTGGGGATCTGTGGCCCCAGGGCTCATTTATGTGGAATTGGCATAAGATTCCAGAGCTCTACCCCCTTTTCTCCTGGGGAGCTGGGCTGGGCGTCAAGACCGGGGCTGCTGCCCTCCATTCCACCTCAGCTTCCTGTCTCTGCCACCCCCAGCCCCAAGGCTCCCCAACCCTGCAGCAGTGGCAGCAGCAGGCCAAGACAATGTGGGGGGCGGGGTGCAGAGCAGCAGCCTGGGGTGCTGACCCAGGAAGGAGGACAGGGTCAACCACCCTCCCAGGGCCTGGGAGGAAGACAGGGGTCTTCTGGTGCCACCCAGGCCATTGGGACAAAGGCCTCTGCCAGCAAGGGTGGTCGGACCAGTCCCCTGGGTGAGTCTGAAGATGGGCTAGGGTCTCCTCCAGGGTGGTGGGGGGTGGGTCAGGGTCTCCTCTCCCCAGCTAGAAACCCCAAGGTTTGGGGAGCTACACCTGCTGAGTGCTGGCTGCCTTCAGGGAGCTCACAGAGATGCATTGTTTCCTTTAGTTGTCACACCCTGTAGGTAGGAGTTATTGTCCCCCTTTGTTAGGTGAGAACAGAGCTAAAGTAACTCGCTGGAGGTCACACAGCTGGAGTGGATCTGAGCCTGTTCTGTTCACTGCTATGCCATAATGACTTTCCTGGCCTATCCCTCCCCTCCGACCCTGTCCTGGTGCCTGCCTAGCCTGTTCAGTCAGCTGTGAAATTTAGAGCCTGTTGCTAGCCTCACCATCATAGGTGGCCTGCCCCCACTCTGATGGTGCTTTGGTGACTGCTGGGCAGCCTCATCAGGGTCGCCATGGAAGGTTGTGCAGTTTGTATACTGAACAGTGACCTCTATGGCGGGCCGGTCGGCAGCCTGCATAATGATCAGTCGTGGCTCTCTTTCTCAATAGCTGACAAGGCCTCAGCCCCTGCCCACTGTCCAGGCGCCCAGTTCACCTCCACTCCCCTTCTCTTCCAGGCTTTGCTCTGTCCCAGCAGCCTGCAGAGGCCCCACAGACAGCCTGAGGCCCCTCCTTCAGCTGCCTGGCCAAGTCCAACCTGCCCCAGAAACCTCCTTCCTATCCTCCCAAACGGGACCCTCCTGTCTGTCACCAGTGCACCTTCTATCCTGATGAACCTGGGCTGGGGCTTGAGGACTTTTCTGAGCTAGGGGACCCCGGCCCTCCCTCTGCAGCTGGTGCAAAATCTGTGGCGGCTGGGGCTGGAGTCACGTGCTAGCCCAGGGGCTGGTGGAAGCCCCGGGAGGAGGCCTGGCAGCTGCCTGACCTGGCTCTGAGCTGGGCTGGGGGTGGGGCTCGGGCCCTGGTGCGGGCAGGTGTTCTGATGACCCTCCTGACAACATGCCCTTGACCCCCAAGTTAAAGGTGGCCCCTGAGTTCTTGCTGACTTTCAGGGACCTGGCCCTCTTCCTCCATTCTTGGCCCTTCCTTCTCAGTCCCTCGCTATTGTTGGTAACCAAGAGTGTCTCTACGCGTGGGTGAAGGGTCCCTCTGTCCCCTGGGGGCCTCCTCCCCGCCTCCCTGCCTGTGGCCCTTGAGTGTCCAGGCTCCCCACCCAAGTCACTCCCTCCCTGCTGTCCTCCCCTCAGTGCTCCTCATTTCTTCATTCCAGATGTTCTGCCCTTTCCCACTCTTTACTCCTAAACAGCTGGAGTCTGGGGCTTAGGACCCCCATTGGTCTGGCCCTGCTCCCTCTTGTGCTACCCGCTCTTCTGTTCTTCTGTTGCTTGTCAGCCCGTACACCTGCCAGTGCAGGAAATAAAGGACCTGTGCGCTACCTGGCCCACGCTCCGGCATCTTCCTCTGGGAATGTGCGCACGTGCATGCAGCTGTGCTGGGGCAAAGCTGTGGAGAGATGATGGGCTCCAATACCGAATCATGTGCCACGGGCTTTTGTTAAATACATGACCTGGTCACATCAACAACCCCTGTGGAGTGGTGGGTGATCTGATAAACGGTTGTCGGAGGAGGAAACAGGCCCAGGCAGGTTAAGTGACCCTCGCAAGGGTCTAAGAGCCAGCTGCGGAACTGGGATGTGAACCCAAGCCCTCAGGCCTCCCGAGCCTGTGCTCAGAGAGACTCCCTTCCCTATTTTTCTGCTCCAGGGATTCTGGCCCAGTGCCCTGGCTGCGAGGGGTAAGGCACGGGCAAGAGTCACCCACTGTCTTAGGTAGAGGGCCCTCAGACCTGGAGTCGGACCTGCAACAGCATTTGAAAACAAGTGGTTTGTTTGGAAGCTGATCCAGGAAGCATTCCTGCGGGGAGTGGGGAATTGAGAAGGAAGGAAGTTAAAGGGCGTGCTAGTCACTGGGGCTTAATCCTACTGGGGAACTCTGGGAAGAAGTATAGCCCTTTGCTACATGGGTGTGGTCTGTGGACCAGCGTCATCGGCATCTCCTGCGAGCTTGTCAGAAATGCAGATTCTCAGGTCCCACCCCAGACTTATAGAGTCAGACTCTGCATGGTCACAAGGACCCCAGGGAATGCACATGCGTGGTAAAGTTTGGGACCCACTGAGATGGAGCCATCTCAGTTATCTCACCCAAGGGATGAGGAAGCTGGGCATGCACCGCCCAGCTGACATCTGTCACTGGCAGCCTTGGGCATTAACATCACACTCTGTGCTCCGTGTGTGGGTAAGGAAAAGCCCCCTGGCAGAGAATTTTTTTTTTAAAGATTTATTTATTTTAGAGAGAGAGAGTGTGAGCAGGGAGAGGGGCAGAGGGAGAGAGAGAGAGAAGCAGACTCCCTGCTGAGCACAGAGCCCGATGACAGCTGAAACCAAGAGTCAGATGCTTAACCGACTGAGCCACCCAGGCGCCCCAAGAATATTGATGCTTCTAGTGGACCATGGACAGCACATGCGGGAATGGTTATTTTTAAATGGTTACACTTTATGTATGTATGTATGTAGCCTACATGCCCAGCATGGAGCCCAGTGTGGGGCTTGAACTCTCCACCCTGAGATCAAGAGTCGCATGCTGCACTGACCGACCGAGGCAGCCAGGTGAGGTGCCGCAATGCACTCTCTCTTTAACGTGGGTGGAGGCGTGATGGCATTTGGGGTACTCTGGTGTGGCAGCTCAGGCCCTGTACACAACGGCTTTTGAAATATCTGGGTGTGCCTCCTTCCCCAGTGTACAATTACACTGATAAATGGCAACTTCTGAGAATTGATGCAGATTTGTAAACCAGGCAGTGGATCATGATTTTCCATTTTGGCAGCTGACATCAGCCTTGGGCTCATTTGCTGTTGATCCGTTCTCTTTGTATAAGGCAAACAATGCCCTTCTTGGCTACCCATAGATCTCAAGTTTTGTTTTTGTTTTTTTTTTTTAAAGATTTTATTTATTTATTTTGACAGAGAGACAGCGAGAGAGGGAACACAAGCAGGGGGAGTGGGAGGGGGAGAAGCAGGCTCCCCGCGGGGCAGGGAGCCCGATGCGGGACTCGAACCCAGGACCCTGGGATCATGACCTGAGCTGACGGCAGATGCTTAATGACTGAGCCACCCAGGTGCCCCAGATCTCAAGTTTAGGGGTACCATGGTCTGAGCCACCGCTGCAAACCCTGTGGGTTAAGGTCCCCTGGTAATTATGTCCACCTTGCCTCCGAGGGTTAAGTGCTGCCACCGGGTCCCCTCTGTCCTGCAATCCTCTCATCCGCACTGACCCTAAGTAGCCTGTGGCCATAGGAGCATCTCCTACATCAACCCCGGCCCCCAGAGGACAACCTCCGCTGAGCTCAACAATGCTTACTTGTCCTCACTAACAGGTTCCTTATGTCCTCCGGGAAAGGACTGTTCTCTGGACCCTGGCAGGGACTGTAATCATGTGGTGGATGCTCTTGTCTTACTCGGCAACTCATTCTAACATGCCTACCTGTCTTTTGACTCCTTCCCCGGTCCTCTGCTGGGGCAGTTCAGGCACTTCACTTGCTACAGACTTTCAGGGAGTCCCTCCCAGCAAGGCATTAGGCCTGGCTCTGCGTGTCCTTGCCAGGAGCTGAAAGCCTGAGTAATGGGAGACTGTTTCCCTCTCCCGTATCAACAAACTGTCCCTATGCAGTCTCCAGTCCGCCTCCTTGGTCTGCCAGCCTCGAAAATCCCCTCCTGTGTGCTCTCCCGATTCCTGCTGCAACATGTTATCTGGCTTATTTAGGTCCTGCAGTATTTCGGGTGAATAATCCCTTTCCCCCCATGTTTGGGACAGTGCTTCTGCACATCCTAAGACTTGACCCTAGTTTTTAGTGTGGAAACCCTGAAGGGAGGCAGGGGTAGATCTTGAGAAGCGAGACAGGGAAGGGAGGGCAGTCAACAAAGGATGTCCTCGAGCAGCTACCTGCTGTGGGTAAGTGGGGCTCAGTCCTGCGGAAGAATTCTGGGAGACAGAGCTGAATACATGTCCGAGTCACCCCGCCTGAGGGGTGAGGGAGCTGGGGTATTGATTCTCCTGCTCTCATCTGTCACTGATTCACAGCTGCTTCTGGAGGTGCTAACTCTGCAGCACCTGAAGCCTGCTTTGCACTCGGAAGGCCCTCGGGGGGAACAGTGGCATGTGCTTGTGGAAGGATGCTGCTGACAGGCAGAGAACTCTGAGGGAATATGGGTGAAACATCAACAGTGCCCGTGCTGGCCACTCACCTGGCCATCTGACGAATATTTATTGGATACCTCCTGTTCTTGGAACCAGGGATACAGCAGGGAAGAGGGACATGTGGTCCCCGCTCTTACCGAGTTGCCCTTCTAACTGGGGAGGCAGACAATAAAGTAGCTAACGAGACAATGACAGGGTGTGAAACGTGCTCTAGAGAGCAACGTCAGAGACCCTGGGGCCGTCAGGGAGTACCGGGCGCTGTGTATGAAGCAGGAGGAGAAGAGCAGGTGGGTCTCTCAGGAAGAGGTGTTTCAGCCAGGACCCCAGGGAGAAAAAGGGGAGCCAGCCATGTTTGTGCCTGGGAAAAGCTCTCGGGGCACAGGGAATGGTGAGGACAAATGTTCTGAGCAGGACCGAGCCCAGCGCATTTGTTTAAGGGAAAAGGGAGAGAGGAGGAAGGAACACGGCACCTGCTGTGACGACAGCAGGGCTGGCTTAGGGCTTTGGCAAGGAGTTTAGGTCTTATTCTAAGTGTGACAGGAAGTATTGGAGGGTTAAAACCTGGAGTGGCACAGTTTGATTTATCTTTTAGGAAGCTGACTCTGCTTGCGACCCCACCACCATTTTCCATCTGCACGAGTAGATTCGGGGTCAGTGTTAGGCTCTGAGGACACCCAGAAGAATGAGTCATGGTCCCTGCCCCCAGGAGAGTGCTCAGTTCTCCCCGCTGCCTCGACCCTGCCCCCACCAGCCCCGTCTCCTGCCCCACACTTGACACAATGTGATCCATTGGAAGCTAGTTTATTTTGAGTGGTTTTTCATGGGGCCGGGCTGGGCTGGGCTGGGAGATGGCTGGGCTCTGAAGCTCTGTTCTAGGGACGCTGGTCCCCTTCCTCAGCACTGCGGCGGCCGAAGTCCATCCATCCGTAAGCTGCTTCTTCTTCCTCCACCCATGGTCCCTGCTTCTTGGACAGGTCTGAGGGTCAGAGCGGGGAGAGGACGTGAGGATATGGGAAGGACACCTAGCCGCTGGAAACCAAGGCCAGGGTCAACCTTGGCTGGGCAAGACAAGCAGGGACAGCTGTCACAGCTCCTACCTGCCACCAGCTGTGGGGGACCCTGGAGCCCTAGCTGCCTTCGCTGGTGAGAGGCTGCACCCAGCCGGTCCAGCCAGTGTGGCTCCAGGCCCCTGTTTGCCCCTGGACCTGAGGGTGCCTCCTGCATCTGGGAGCGGGGCCTCCAAGAAGCTTCAGAGGAGGTGGCCAGAGCCAGCGCCAAGATCAGCACGTACACACACAGTCGCTGCATCTTGTCTGCAAAGGAAACAGGGGCAGAGTTGAAAGATGCGGCCATCCAGACACCCAAAGGCAGGAGCCTGGACCAGATGGACTCTGGGTCCCTCGCTGCTGGCAGGTGCAATGCTGTGTGGGGTTGCGGACTGTTCCTCAGCTCGCTTCTCCAGTTCCTGCCAACTCCCCCGGCTCCCGGGCCTGGCCCCCTTTCCTCCTCACCTACCTTAGTTACAGCAGTTGCTTCTCTCGGAGGAGGAATTTACAACCTAGAGCGATGGTTTCCAAACTTCCGCAGAATTTGAGGCTATGTGAGCTGCTCTGTAGATGTTTAACTCTTTGTAATTTAAAGTGAGCTTTTAAATAGTCATACCAAAGGGCACGTTACAGACGGCCTGGTATCTCTGTGGAGACCACCAGCGTATTCACCGTGTGGTCGGGTCCCACCGTTTCTGCGCGGCCCGTAGAGGGAAGCTTCTCCCTTTTTTTTTTTTTTTTTTTGGCTTAACCGAGGAATATCCTGTGATTGTAGTTAAGCAGTTAAAAATTAAGCTGTTACCGTTTGCACCTGTGTGTCAGGATGACCTGAGTTTGGGGAAGCCATAATACAGAAATAAACTGGATACTCAAATGAATCTAAAATTCAAATATAAAATTCTATTCTCAGCATTTGTGTTCTTTCAGCCTCATTACTCTGATTGGCTTTACCTTTCAGGAACACATTCATATTAATAAAATACTACCTTTTTAAAATTTTATTTTATTATTTTTTTAAGATTTTATTTATTTATTTGAGAGAGAGAGAGAGAATGAGAGATAGAGAGCACGAGAGGGAAGAGGGTCAGAGGGAGAAGCAGACTCCCCGCTGAGCAGGGAGCCCGATGTGGGACTCGATCCCGGGACTCCAGGATCATGACCTGAGCCGAAGGCAGCCGCCCAACCAACTGAGCCACCCAGGCGCCCAATACTACCTTTTTTTAAAAGATTTATTTATTTGATAGAGAGAGACAGTGGGAGAGGGAACACAAGCAGGGGGAGTGGGAGAGGGAGAAGCAGGTTTCCCGCTGAGCAGGGAGCCCGATGCGGGGCTCCATCCCAGGACCCTGGGATCATGACCTGAGCCGAAGGCAGATGCTTAACGACTGAGCTACCCAGGCACCCCAATAAAATACTACCTTTATCTGTTTTTCATAGTGGGGTTCTCTGTTAGATTTCCTTTGGAAGAGAAAGGGTTCTTGGTGCTAAAGAAACAAGGTTGAAAAATCAGTGATCAAGAGCTATGGTGGCCCATACGAGCCATGTGCATTGTCCACCGTGGTAGCTACTAGCCACATATGGCTCTTTACATTTAAATTAATTAAAATTAAAAATTCCTCCCCCAGGCTAGCCACCTTTCCAGTGCACCTGTGGCTGGTGGCTACCATATTGGACGGTGCAGATACAGACCCCATCATCATGGAAAGTTCTTTTAGACAGCGCTAGTCTAGGAAAAAGCTTGAGATGGGATCCAAAAGCCTTGGATTCCAGTTCCAACCCTTCCTTTGTCCTTCTCACCTCGCAGGACTGGGGTGAACATGGAGTAAGGGGGTTGAAGTGGCAAGTCAGCTCAAGGTTTGGGAATGCCAGGGTGAGTTCTAGGCTGAGACCTAGTCTGGCCCTGAACTAAGAGAAGGGTGGCAGCCCTGGAGACACCGAGGCGTGAGCCTGGTACCTTGATGCAGGGAGTCGTCCCAACAACCCTCTTCCCCGCCTCTCCACTCCCCTCCTGGGTGCTCTCACCTGCAGAGCTGGGACGTGGGCGGTGCTGTAGCCGGCCTGGTGCCTTTCCAGTCCCTGCACTGCTTGGTGCTCCTGCCCTGCCTTATAAAGCCCTCAAGGCCCCTCCCAAATGCCCATGCGGCCAGCAAGACAAAAGGGGGTGGGCCCAGGTACATCACCTGTGCCCTGCCCTGTCACTCATTCAGTCAGTCATCCACGTTGGGGGGAGGGGCATTGACCTTCATGGCGGTGAGGGGCAGGTGTGGGGTCGGGGCAGGTCTTCAGCTGGGTATGAGGGCAGGCAGGAGACAGGCTCCCTGGGGTCAGAACAGTGCCCCCCACCCAGTCCTTGGGGTCAGAGTCCTGGTGTGCATCAGCCCTCCGACTACATCCCATTGGGGGGCAGGGGAAGCGGGTGCACCGAATGACCCTGGATTCAGAGGAAGCATGTTTCATCATACATTGGTGTTTGAAGAGCAGGGAGTGTGTGGATGTGGAGAGTTGTATCGATCCCCTGTCCCCTCTGCTCGGCTCTGCAAACAGGACGTGAGGTAGTTATCGGGGGCAATGGGCCATGGGCTGATGGCCCCACTCTCTCTGCCTGGTTGCCTCTTCACCTCCCTTGCCTGGAAAACCCTGAGTGTCCCCCCCCATTCTTTGTGCCCTCTGTGCTGGCTGGGTTCTGCTTGCAGCTCCCCTCTACCTCGGGTCCGCCTTTACCCCCTGCCTCTTGCAAACCCCCCACCCAGGGCTCCCTGCACTTGGAGGCTTCCTCCTTTTGTTTTCCAGGGGAGATAGCGATCCGCGTGACGCATTCACCACTTTCCAATATAAAAATACATCTTAAAGTGGTAAGCAAAGAGACTAAAGTGCTTGCCCAAGATGTGCCAGAAAACCAAATAGTGCGCTTGTTGACTGATTTGATAAATTGCCACCTCGAGCTGGTTTGGACAGCTCTAGGCTGCTTTTGATTTTTCCACGGTTGGCATTAGAGATTTTGCTCTTGTGCACACATCATCAGGCCCCCTCCTTGTGTGGGGGAGTTTTGATACCCCTTGGGTCCTGGATAAAGGGCAGTGGTACCCACGCTCACAGCCAGCCGTGCTGAGAATTAACAGGTGATGTAGCAGGCTGTGAGTGTCCATGGCAACCAGCAGCCGAATGTTCTGGTGAATAACCACTCTAATCCAGGGCAGGGCTCAGTGACTCAGCAAATGGAATTAAGTGAAAACGACAAAACCAGTGCAGGCATTGGTGATAATGAATCGAATCCATAATCTTTGAGGGGGCTTGGGAGACGGTGGTGTGGGGAGCAGCTCCGTTTATGTGCTAGAGGAATAGAGATGTTCGTGTTACCATGGTGACAGGAAATGATAAGCTTTCTGCAGAGCCTTAGTTGCACCAGAACCCAAGATTTCTGCTGTGGAGGGGGTTATGAGCCGCTCTCCCCTGGCCACCTTGGCTGTTCTTGGCAGGCTGGTCACACCAGGGCTGGTGATAGCAGCAAACAGAAGCGGGTACCCACTCAACAGGCGATGAGGGGACCCCTGTCCGATGGAAAAGGGAAGGGTTTCCGGGCCTTGCTGATGTTGAACTTTGAGCAGATCTCTCCTCCTCTCTGAGCTATTTTCTTCTTCAAGAAGTGAGGAAAATAACTTGACTTGGGGCGGGGGGAGTCTTGTGAAGGTGATGTACATAAAGCACCATGCACTGTGCCCAGAACATTGCAAGTCCCTAATTTGTTTGCACCTTCTCCCTTATCCTCTTTGGGCCTCAGTTAGCCTCAGCTGTGAAATGGGAATCATTCATTCCTACCTCACTGGGCTGCTGTGAAGGGGAAATGTAACAAGGTCTGCGCACACACTTGGCACACATCAGGGCTTCTCCTTTCCCAAGACTTAGGAGGGTAATTCCCTAAAAAGCATCATCTGTGAATCTAAGCTTTTCCCTCCGGCTGGCCATGACTCAGAGGGACACTTGTCCTGGGTTGCCACTGAAAGAGGTGGCAGAGATGGAGCCTATGGAGGCTGGACCTCTCAGAGGCCAGCACCGACTGGTATACAGAGGATTTGGGAACTGGTGAGGCCAGGAGAGACTCCCGGCTCCAACACTTTGACTCGCTGGGTGACCAGAAAATTCAGTTTCTGAGTCTACCAAACTGAAGACCAGATCCCAGACCCTGGGGCCAGCCCCCTCCCTCTCTCTGTGGACCCTGCCCTTGTTCTCACAATAGTGACAACGCTTTGTGCCAGGCTCTTTGCATGAATAAATGTAGTTGCTCTTCACCATGGTCCTTGGACATAAGTACTAGTGTGTCCCTATTCCACAGATGAAGAACCTGAGGCTCACACAGGTGAGCAATGCCTGTCCTGAGTTTACAGGACCAAGGAGTCCTGGACCTGAAATCCTTGTTCTGGGATCTTTTTCCTCCCAGGAGAGGTGTGGTGGGCAGAATAATGTGCCCCAAAGATGTCCATACCCCAATTCTTGGGACCTGTGAATATATGTGGTTACATGGCAAAAGGGACTTTGCAGATGTAATTATAGACTTTAAAGTAGGGGGCTTATCAGATGAGCCCTTAAAACATTCTTTGGCAGGACGCCTGAGTGTGAGGTCACGATCCCAGGGTCTTGGGATTGAGTCCCAAGTTGGGGTCCTTGCTCAGCAGGGAGCCTGCTTCTCCCTCTGCCTCTCCCCCTGCTGTGTGCTTTCTCTCTCTCTAACAAAGAAACAAAAAAACCAAAAAGTTCTTTGGGTAGAACGTCCTTTGGCTAAAGGCGGAAGTGATATGGCTGAAGGATGAATCAGAGATTTGAAGAATGAGGAGGATTCCACCTGCCGTTGCTGGTTTGAAGATGGGAGAGGGAGGGCAGCAGGCTGAGTGCAAGTGGCCTTCAGGGGCTGAGAGAGGCCCCCAGCTGAGGCCCTGGACTGCAAAAAACTGAATTCAGCCAACAATCTGGATGAGCTTGGAAGTGGGTTCATCCCCAGAGCCTTTAGAAAGGAGCACAGCCCTGGTGACGCCTTCATTTTGGCCCAGGGACCCACGCTGTACCTGGGACTCCTGACCTACAGAACTGTCAGAGAATGAATTGGTGTTGTCTTGAGCTTGTAGTGTTTGTGGTAATTTATTATGGCTGGAACAGAGCACAGATACAAGGGGTTCTGGCCTCATGAGGGTTTCTGTCCGTAAGAACTGGCTCTGCGTGAATTTGCATGTAATTTTTCTTTCTTTTTTTTTTTTTAAAGATTTTATTTATTT